CTCTCTGGCTTATAGACCGGGGGGCTCTGTACAGGAATCAACCCAGGAGTGCTACCGAAACTCCCACGCCTTCCAAAGGCCCCTGCCGACTTCAGCTCTGGACCCTGTGTAAACAAGGACGCTACCCCCTTCACCCTACAGGCTGGGCCGATGGCTTAAACATCACTCATCTGACATTTCCCGAGCACCTACTATGTGCCGTGGGCCAGGCATCCTACTGCCCACCCACTCTAAATGATCTCAGGGCACCCTGAGTGCTCGTCCCGTGAGATGAAGACGTCCATGTCTGGGCCAGCAGTTTGACACAGCGGTAAAGCCACGGCTTACACTGCCAGATCCCCTGTGGGGGGGCTGGTTTGAGTCCTGCCTGCCCTGCTGGGGATGCAGCTCCCTGATAGCACACCAGGGAAAGCAACAGATGATGGCCCTCATACTTGGGCCCCGGTACTCAGTAGGAGACCCGGATGGAGGTCCAGGCTTCTGCCTTCGGCCTGGCCCAGCCTCAGTTGTTGGGGGCTGTCTGGGAAGTGAGCCAGCCGATGGAGTTCTCTCTAGCTCTGTCTCCCCCTTTGTCTCTGTCACTCTGCCTTTCAAATAAGTAAATAAATCTTTTTTTTAAGCCACCCATATCTGAGTGCGCTCTATGGGTGGAGATGAATGGTACATGTTACCATCGCCCCCCAGCATCCCCAGGAGATTTGCTGCAGGACCCGCCCACACACCAGGACTGCAGGTGCTCAGATCCCTTACATAAGACGGTGTCGCGTGGGCAGTAAAGCCACGGCATCCTCCTGAGTACCTGATCCTCTTAGATACTCACAACCCCTAGCACAGCGTTCGCACGCACTGTGCACATCACAGGTGTCGCCCAGCACTGCTCAGGGAATAACAAGGAAAAGAAAAGTCTCTGCACATTCAGTACAGATCCGTGTTCTAAGTCTCTCCGACCTGTGGCTGGTGAGCACAGACGCCAGCCCAGACGTGGAGGGCCGGGACCTCTCCGTCTACCAGTCCCCTTGCACTGTTGTTTCATCCCTCATGTTCATTCAACCACCATCCACAGGCCATCGCCGACGCGCGGCCACTCGCCTAGACACTGGAGACAGGAAGATACGGTCTGGGCTCCGAGGGGCTCCTGCTTAGTGTGACAGGGAAGTGACCGGGAGTGACTCTAATGAGTGTCCAGAGGGAGGAGGCCGACAGGCCAGGGAAGGCCGTAGGACAAAGCAGAGCCACTGGGGGCATGGTCCCATCTGGGATGGGACCCGAGTCACCCCCTCCCCAGGGCCCCAGTCCCGTGACGCTTCTCCAAGCCAGGAACCAGATCAGAGCTCTCAAGGGCTGAGAAAATACCAAAAATCCTGAGAAATCCATGTGGTCACCAGCTTTTTATTCATCAAACAAGAAATTCTAGAGGCAAAGCAAAAAAGCGAGTGAACACCTGCCGCCCACCTCTGCCATTCACTCTGGAAAGAAAGGATGGTTTAGCACCGGCGCCCCAAGTTCACCATCTCCCAAGGAAGGGTGAGCCTCGGGACCGGACTCAGGGAGCTGCATGAGAATTCACTGCCTTGTCCTCAGTGTCCTCCCTCTGTCCACTCCAGGCCAGCTCCGTCACCACCTGGTACCACAAGTGCTGACAAGACAGCCCCCAGCACTGCCCAGTGCCAACGTGACCCATTGAAGCCTCCACCCAGAGCAGTCTCCAGGCCACGGCTCCAGCCAGGCAGCTTCTAGACTCCCTCAGACACTGTGGGAGCCCCCTCCCTTCTCTCTCACCCACTTCCCTCATCCCTTGCACCTGTTCCCACCCTCTCCACCTCCATACCCCCCCTGGAAAACCATCCCTCCCTCAACTCTGGGTGGTGGGCCCCTAGCCTAGAGGTGACAGTAACTTAAGTCAGCAGGGGGCCCTTGAAGCAGCCGCCTGTCAGCCAAGTGGACGCTGTCGTGTGATTCCAGACCCTCATCCACACTGGCCGTGCTGTCCAAGGAGAGCCCTCAGCTGTCAGCCCCTGGTGGCCTGGCCTTGTCAATTGTCTCGGCCCTCCCTGGGGTGGCCCACAACCAGCGATGGCTGTGGCAGGGGAAAGATCTGCTCACTTTTGCCCAATTCGGGGCTACTCAGATGGGCTCGTCCACTTCCAAGAGACCACGGGGTTGTCCAAGCCGCTGCTGGGCTGCATGGAACTCAGCTTCTTCCCCCTACTCCCGCCTCCTGCCCTGTCCTCCCCAGAGCCATTCCTGTTGGCTCCTCCTTCATCCACCTGCACACTGGTCTCTGCAGCAGAGTCTGCTTCCCGGGGAACCCAACCTGAGCCGCTGGCTGAGCGACGCTGGCTGCCTTTGCCCCATTTCTCGCCCAGCTGGAATTTCCCATACGGATACCTTGATGCACAAGCCCATCCAGTCCAGCTCTGTCAACAGGAACTCAGAGAACGGAGAATATTTTCTGTCTTTGAACAAAGATGGGCCTTTGAGACCACTGTCCAGCGGTGGTCTCGAGGCCAGCTCTGAGCAACATCGCCACCCATCACCCTTGTGCCCTGGGCGGCCCCTCCCGCTCCCCCCCCCAGAGGCTGCAAAGTGCAGAGCACATAGTTGGAAAGCTGCAGGCCCATATGATTTAAGGGAGAAATAAAAGCTCAGTTTTAATAGCTGCACAATATAATCCCCTTACATACACAGTGGAGGTTGGAGGACAGAGTGGGGAGCGGGATGGATACTGCTCTGGGCTGCTGTGGCAGGTGACAGTCAGGCATCCCTGCCTGCACTGTGTCTGCACCCGGAGCTCCACCAATCCTGGCTGCCCGGAAGCGCGAGGCCAGGACAGCAGTGTGGGGAGGCTGGGCTGAGCTCACCTTCTTGTTTCTACAGCTCTAGGCCCCTGGGCCAATGAACACAAGACAGAAGCGGGCCCCAGTGTTGACCAAGTGAAGTGGAAGGAGACCACGGGCAGAGACCCTTCAGCAAGGGCCCAGAGACCGCCCAGAGCACGTCGGCCCACACCAGGGAGGGAGCGGGCTACCACCACACTGCCTGGCCAGGGCTCCACAGCTGGTCCTGGGAGGGCGGGAGAGCCAGGATCTGCTGTCCCTGTCCTCACGGGGGCAGGGGCCCAGGAAGCTGCCCCTCTCCGAGGACAAGAACACACACTCAGCATAGCAGGGACAGCAAATAACAGACATAATGTCACTGTTGACCGTTGATGGTCTTATCCAGAAGTTCACTCTTGGAAAAATCTAGAGAACAGCGCTCTCATTTTTGGCATATGTTTGAGTTTTATGAAGAGATTTTAAAAAGTTCACTGAAAAATGGAATTAAAAGATAAGCTTATTTGGGTGCAAAATAATTTTTAATTGTATATGAAGAGTCTTTGAAATGCTCTTAGAAAATGTGGATTATGAAAAGATTACGCATGGATGTAAGATTTCTTTGTATCCAAATAAATCTTTTGATCCCATTTTTCCATGAATTTTTTGAAGTTCCTCGGGCAACATAACCTCTTTGGCACTGGTCACTTTTAACGTTTCCCCCAGCTCAGCCAGGGAGGCAGGAGGCCCCACATGGGGGACACGGCACACGGAGAGAAAGGCAGGAAGGAGGGGACTGGGCGAGGGGCATGGCCATGAGAGACCCGGGCTGTGCCAGGCAGAGCTGGGGGAGCCCAGAGCCCACTGCGCTCTCATGAGGGACACGCTCTTTCCCGAGCCTGCCTTGCCTTCCGGTCTGTGCCAAACAGGTGCATGAGTGTGTGCCAGCTTGCACACGCAGCACCCGCACGTCACTCGGCGTCCGACACACAGGCACACGGCCAGTGCTCACGAGCTAACCCCAGAGCAGCCTCCTGGGGCTTAAGATGCCAGCCCTTCTGGGGTTCACAGCCACGAGCCCCGGCCTTATCCTCCAACAGTGGTTCTCAAAGAGGGCGACCTGGGCAGGCGGCGGCGGCGGGGGCAGCATCACAGAACTGGTTAGAAACGCCTGGGGCCCCCTCTTCTCCCTCTGACCGGGCCCTGAGCACCCGGGAGCCTCCTTCAGGGTCACAAGTCCATGCCACGCTTTCCACACACAAGTCCCTGCTAAGTGACCTTCTTGCACGTCATCTCGTTTAAAGCTCACACACCTCGTGCAAGACGCACCTTTGTTCTCTGTGCTGCAAATGGGGTGGCGGGTCCCCTCTCGTCCCCTCACAGCTCCACCCCAGCCCACCGGCCTCAGCCACCTCCCCACCCCCCTACATCCACCCATCTCTGTGCTTTAGCCTGTGGAACCAGGGAGTCCCCCTGAGTCTTTGCTGATTAAAACAGCTTGAAGGCCATTTAGCTAGGCCAGCCTTTGAACTGTACAGCCAGGGAAACTGAGGCTAGAGCAGAGCAGGACCCCTGACCCCTGATGTAGCAGGTCACCAACACAGCCAGGCGGCCCAGCACCCAGACCTGTGGGCTCTCAGCACAGGGGAGGCTCTCCCAGCATCTAGCCGAGCCCCCCTCCCCCCATAAGCACCTTAACACCCCTGGATATTTCTGAACATCCCACTAACAGTCATTTTTCAAAGTCAGAGGTCACGCTCAGTCAGATCTGGACTAAGATCAGGCTCAGTCCAGCTCCCGAGTGTGCACTGGCAATTACCGTCTCGCTGGAGCGCCTGTCCCAGGCTGAATGTAAACACGCAGCCGGGACTGTGCCCGCTGTGCCAGCGCTCCCGCCTCTCCCCCAGGCTGCCCTGGGTCTCTCCCTGCCTCGCAGCCAGTGCTAAATCTTCCAATAGACAAGGCCTGGCCGTGCAAGCAGGGGGTGGGCCGAGGGGCGGGAGCTGAAGCCCCACCTCGTGAGCAGGCAGCACCTCTGCCAAGGCCCTGGCCGCCCTGCCTGGGAGAGCAGCGGCACGGGCTGGCAGCTGGCGGAGTCGTGAGCGCACCCTGGCCCCCAGACCAGCCTGCACCCTGAATCCTGGAGGGACGGCCTGCTGCATAGGTGACCTGTGGGATGCTCTCCTGACCTGCGATGTCTCCTGAATAGCACTTAGGAGGGCCCCGCGTTCCTGTGCCGGCTTGTCACGGACCAGCCGAGTGGCCTGCGCTGGTCAGATGCCCTCCGGAAGCCTGGATCTTCGGTAAAGGGGATGTTTCCTGCTCTGAATACGTGGCTTGAGCTCTACTTTTACATGCGATGTGCAAGAAGTCTGGCTGGGAGGAGGCACCGTGAGCTGACCATGGCCATGCACCAGGCCTTCTGCTCTGCCTAGCCCACCTCTACCTGATACATAGGACCGGCGCCCAGGCGCGTGGCTGCATCTCCTTTACATCTCCTCCTCTCCTCACCCCACCCCTCCACGCTATACCCACGCACGGGAGAGGACCCAGGAGCTGTGGGCCCCAGCCCCCCCGTGCCCTGCTCAGAAGCCACCATGGGGGCCTGTGACATTGTGACCGAGGCCAACATCTCATCTGACATTGACAGCAACGCCACAGGCGTCACCGCTTTCTCCATGCCCGGCTGGCAGCTGGCTCTGTGGGCCACAGCCTACCTGGCCCTGGTGCTGGTGGCCGTGGTGGGCAATGCCACGGTCATCTGGATCATCCTGGCCCACCGGAGGATGCGCACGGTCACCAACTACTTCATCGTCAACTTGGCCCTGGCTGACCTCTGCATGGCCACCTTCAACGCGGCCTTCAACTTTGTCTACGCCAGCCACAACATCTGGTACTTCGGCCGCGCCTTCTGCTACTTCCAGAACCTCTTTCCCATCACGGCCATGTTCGTCAGCATCTACTCCATGACGGCCATCGCCGCTGACAGGCAAGAGGGGAACCGGGGCAGCTCCTCCCTCCCCAACTCTGCTGGGGCTCAGACGGGGGCGGGCGGCTGCAGTCAGAGTAGACCCCAGGGAACTGCCTTCCAGACCTGGTCCGGGCCCAGAACACCGTGGGAGGCAGCAAGTAGAGTCCAGAAGACACAAGGAGAGAAAGGGCTGACGGGCAGACCGGTACGGGGGTCGGGGGGCGGCACCTGCGGTGGGGCTCTCGGAGCTGGTCTTTGGGGTGTTTCCTTTGCTATAAGAAACCTGCTCGTACTGTCTCTCTGTGGCAGGTGGGTCACAGGAGGGCACACAGCGTCCACCTGGCCATAGCATTGTAATAGGACCCCTTCTTGTCCCGCGCTGCCCTTGGGGGCTGAGACCCTGACCTCGTGCTGAGGGGCCCTGGGGCAAGCAGGCTCAGGACTCGGCAGTGAGCCAGCCTGGAGCCCTCTGGCGGCTGTTGGGACCGCCGGGGCCTGCCTTGGATGTGGGAGGGGACGTGAGGAGCCTGTGACCCCGGAGGCACTGAGTCCCTGTCAAGTCCACCCACCACCCTCCCGCTCTGTGCCCCCTTCCCACCCCGCCCTGCTCCGGTAGCCCCAGGAGCTCTCTCACCCCAGCTGCGCAGCGCCAGGCTTTGCGGGTTTTCCTGTGGGAGACATCTTCTCCCACTCATTCCACGCAGAAAGAAACCTTGGAACCCCATTCATCTGCAGGGTGGGGCACGTCCTGGCCGTAGAAGGCCGGCGAGTTCACCGAGTCTGCCGAGGCCAAGGGGACAGACCCGCAGGCAGACTCGAAAGCCAATAAAACTACAGCGGTGGATCATTTGGTATGGCCCCGGAATGAGGTTATACATATCCAAACGGGCCTTGGCAGAATAAAGCTCACCCAGGGAAACTGAGGCAGGGATGAGCAGGCTGCCGAGAGGTCGCCAGTGAGGCAGCGGCAGGGCCAGGCGCCCCAGCCCTCAGAGCGGGGCCCCAGCACCCAGAGCGGGGACCCCCCCCAGCCCTCAGAGCGGGGCCCCTGCACCGCGCACCCTATGCCCTGATGCTTCAGCTCGTCTTTAGTTTTCTCGGCATTCCCACAGCAAATGTTCCCGCGTCTCTGTGGCAGGCACAGCCCTAGGAAAAACCGGCCTCCCAGAGCTTCCACTGCGGGGCGGGAGGAGACGGTGGGGGCCGGGGCGGGGGCAGTCGGGGGAACCCGCTGGAGGCCGGTGGAATAACCGGGCCCGCTACAGCAACAGCGGAGATTCACCCGTTCGGCGCCTCCTGTCCTCGCGCATGCGCGCAACAAGCACTTGCGCAGGCCTGTTCTGGCTCTTTGCAGGCCCTACTCCCCGATGCTGCGGCCAGCACCACCGGAGGCTGCCCGCTGGGGCAGAGTTTCAGTAATGAGCGCCTCGCCGCTTCCCACAGCAGCCCTGCTGACACCAACAGTCCATTTCGCAGAGTGGACAGGAGGCGGGGAGAGCTCCAGCCATTTGCTGGACAGTGGGAGCACCGGTGGCGAATCCGTCTGAATCCCAGGTCGCAGGACCCTGCCCCTCGACGCACAAGATGGCCTCTCGGCCACTTCCCTCCAGGAACAGGCGGGGAACCAAGCCCCCACACTGACCTGAGGCCACCTGCCTCACCTGTGGGGGCGGGGGACGGGTGCCCGGGAATCCGGAGGCACCTGCTGCAGCCCCAGACGGGAGCTGGCCCTGGCTCAGCCCCAGGGAGGGCCCGGGAGGGAGGGAGTTGACATCACCTGTCTAGAAGGGCCACTGCACTGCTCACCTCTGAAACTCACTGTTGCTGCTCCACTTTGCTACTCGTTGGGTGGCAAACAAGGGCGTGTATTTTCCACTTGGGTATTTGTCCTTTGGTAGAACCCATTGTCTTTGTAACCCTGCGTATCCTAGACATGCAAATCTCATTCTAAGGAGCGGTCCCTGGGCACAGAGATCTGCCAGGTACTCTCCTGGAGAGAAAACCAAGGGCCAGGCCACACGGCCATGTGAAGGGAAGGGAGTGGGCAGAGGCCGGCGCCTGTATCCTTAGTGGACCCCACCCTTCAATTCCTTTGGCCTGGGAGAAGCAGGCAGCTTCCCCGAAGCCCACCGTTCCTCAGTCCCACCAGGGCCAGGACTCCGGGGCGCCTGGGAGCAGAGAGGAGCTCCGCGTCCAGGTAGCAGGGGTGCCAGGTGGCAGATTCAACCCCTGCAGCTCCCCCAGAGAGAGGCGGCAGCTCCTGCTACCTGCAACAGGGAGGTGGTGTCCAACATGAATTTTAACAGGAGGGGCAGGAAGGAGGCTTTCCAAGCTGAGGAGGGAGGGAGCACCCCATAGAAGGTCACACAGGGCTGCCCCACAGCCAGCGTGAGCCAGGGGTGGTGTGGGAGCAGTGACCAAGGAGGCTGAAACGTGGGCTGGCCACATGCACAGGGCCTTGAACGCCAAGTTTAAAGGCTAGGGCTTGACCTGCGCCATAGGTGCGTACTGAAGTGTGCATGAATTGAAGTATGCAACATGGCTCCTTGGCCACATTAGCCACACTTTCTCGTGCTTGTGGCCATAGGTGGTTAGTGGCTACCAAACAGGACAATGCATGAACAGAGCATTTCCCACATCAGAGAAAGTTCTAGTGGGCAGCACGGATCTGGCCTTCATCCTGGAGGCTACCAGCTCTGCCGAGGTTTCTGAACAGAAGTGGGCTGGGCACGGTTCTGAGGGGCTCCGAGAGGGCCGAGCTTCAGGCTAATGTGGACACTCTTGGCACGTAGAGAGACGGACTGCCCATGAGGCCACAGCGCCCTCTTGTGGCCGTCTGTGGGAACGTTCACACCCAGAGGGAGGCGTGGGTTGGTGCCTGGGCACTGTGGGCCTGGGCTGGGGGAAGGGAGGGGAGTGAGAGCCAGGCTGATGCAGCAGCCCACTGCTCACACTGCGCTCTGCTCACAGGTACATGGCCATCGTCCACCCCTTCCAGCCCCGGCTCTCGGGCCCTGGCACCAAGGCAGTTATTGCTGGCATCTGGCTGGTGGCCCTGGCCCTCGCCTTCCCCCAGTGCTTCTACTCCACCATCACCATGGACCAGGGCGCCACCAAGTGCGTGGTGGCTTGGCCTGAAGACAGCGGAGGCAAGATGCTCCTCCTGTAAGGCTGTGTGTGTGTGTGTATACATCATGTCCATGCAGGAGCAGTGTGTGTGTGTGCATCATGTCCATGCAGGAGCAGTGTGTATGTGTGTGTGCATCATGTCCACACAGGAGCAGTGTGTGTGTGTGTGTGTGCATCATGTCCACGCAGGGGCAGTGTGTGTGTGTGTGCATCATGTCCACACAGGAGCAGTGTGTGTGTGTGTGTGTGTGTGCATCATGTCCACACAGGAGCAGTGTGTGTGTGTGTGTGTATACATCATGTCCATGCAGGAGCAGTGTGTGTGTGTGCATCATGTCCACACAGGAGCAGTGTGTATGTGTGTGTGTGTGCATCATGTTCACACAGCAGTGTGTGTGTAAGTGCATCATGTCCACATAGGAGCAGTGTGTGTGTGTGTGTGTGCACTCATGTCCACACAGGGGCAGTGTGTGTGTGTGTGTGTGCATCATGTCCACACAGGAGCAGTGTGTGTGTGTGTGTGTGCATCATGTTCACACAGCAGCAGTGTGTGTGTGTGTGTGCATCATGTCCACACAGGAGCAGTGTGTGTGTGCATCATGTCCACACAGGAGCAGTGTGTGTGTGTGTGCACTCATGTCCACGCAGGACTAGTGTGTGTGCATCATGTCCACGCAGGGGCAGTGTGCATGTGTGTGTGTGTGCATCATGTTCACACAGCAGCAGTGTGTGTGTGTGTGTGCATCATGTCCACACAGGAGCAGTGTGTGTGTGTGTATCATGTCAACATAGGAGCAGTGTGTATATGTGTGTGTGCACTCACATCCATGGATGAGCAGTGTAGGTGCTGGGGCATGCACCTGCGTCTAGGAGCACACATGGTAAATTGAAAACATCCTAAGTGGAGCGTGCACATCCCCCACCTAACCTGTGTGTCGGCGCAGCTCTGCAGCCCAGCCGTCTGCTGACCTGGGACCACCCATATTATTCTTTTTATTATTCCCATTTTGGGTGAAGAAACCGAAGCATTGAGAAAACTCAGCAGTGTGCCCAAGTGCACACAAGTAAGTGGTAAAGTGGGATTCGAACCCAGGCAGTGCTGCTTCTGAGCCCCGTCTCCCAGCCGCTCTGCTACTTAAACAAGGATGGGAGTCCTGGAATAAGGATTCGAGGCACAGGCCCAGGCGCAGTCACCCCGCACGTCACAGACACGCTGCAGCCACTCTTGTCTGCATCCCTATGCAAGTGCAGGCAGGCACGTGTGAGGGAATCTGTTTGGAAGAGGGCTCTGTGTGTGCCCAGGCCTGCTGCCTGCTCCATGCTGAGGTGGGCACCATGGCAGGGGTGGGCAGAGGAACTTGGGTGCAGCACAGACGCTGTGTGACCCTGTCACAGTGTGGCTTTGTGCCCCGCAAAGCACAGCATGGCTTGTTGTTAGAGCACAGAGCTGATGGAGGCTTGGGAGTCTACGCTGGCCCCACCCCTCCCAGCCAGAGCCTCTGTTTCGAGTGAGGACTGGTAACCATGGATCGTAGGAAGCCTTTAGCAGTGTGCAGGGCACAGAACAGGCACCCAACCCAGGGACAACAAAACCAGACCTGGAGGTGGCCGATTTAGTCCCACAAAGTCCCTGATGCTGCAAGCATGGGGACGCACACACTCCTGGCCAAGAGCTGCTGGGTAACCATGACAACCCAGCCTCCACCCCTAGCATCCTCCCACCCCACCCCCGCCCCTACCTGGTCTCCATCTGTCTCAAGCACCTAGCAGGAGAGGCTGTTCCATGCTAGGTAGGGAAGGCGCCAGGCTGCCACGGAGCCTGGTCCTGGTGTTCGGCCTCCACCTGGTCCCCCACCCTCACTGAGGCTGGTGTCCAGGCAGCATCTCCTTTGCAGGCCCTGGGAAAGGTGGCATTTTGGAACTGACCACTAGGGCACAGTGTTTCCCCACCTTCAGGCATGGGCCTCTGTCCCTGGGAGTGGAAGCAAGAACTTAGGCCACCAAATACCAGCTACAGCGGGCAGGGCCTTCCAGCCCTGTGCAGTAACAGGACGGCCGCGCTGGGCCAGGAGAGCTGCACTCTCGAGTTCCATGGAGTCAGAGAGGATCTGGGCAAGCCTGGCTCTGTGCGAGAACAGCACTGCTGTGCTGGGGTCGTTAGCCTCAGGCGACTGGGGGCTCCCAGCCTGTGTAGGAGTCTGATGAAGTTTCGGAGGCCCCCTCAGAGACACACATCCCCCGAACCCAAAGTACAAAAACACCATCCAGGCCCAAGGGGAGACGTCCCTGATTTGGGGAGACCCCGGAAGGCGGCCCCCACGCTGCTCAGCTCTTTCACCCTAGCCCGTGGGGATTCCTATCATCCTGGGCAGTGGAGGAGGGAGGAGGGAGGGGTGACCTCCCCATTTTACAGACGGGAAAACCGAGGCCGAGGGCGAGAACTGCCTTGCCCTAAGTCACACGCTGCATTAGAGGCTGGGTAAGAATCCCACATTTCCGACACCCATAGTGCTGCCCTTCAGTGAGAGGGGAGTGGCGTGGGTTCCGGTGCAGCCTGCAGAGCTTTGACCAGCACAGATTCCTGCACCTCTTTGGGCCTCAGTTCTGTCTCTGGACACTGAGGCAGGTGGCCTGGTTGATCTCCCAGGTGTCTCTAGCTCGGACACCCTGAGTGGTGACAGGGCGGGCACTCACTGTGCCTTCCCCTCTCACCTGTTCTGCAGCAGGGCTCCCCATCCAGACCCCACGTGAGGACCAGGGCATCCAGGAGCCGCCCCCACCCCACCCCAGCTTCTGCAATGGCCATACTCGCAAAGCCAGCGAGCGGCATTCCACACACCAGGCTCCGGGAGGGAGACTTGCTGGGGCACCTGCTCCCCTCCCACAGGGCGTGCAGGGTAAGAAGAAAGGAAAAGGCCACAGGCAGGGCTTCGGCCGGCTCCAGGGCTGCTCTGGGGCCCCCGCTGGTCACTCCTGAGGGTGCAGAGCAGAGTAGGCCATGGTGCCCTTGTGCTCTCTCAGCCTAGCCTGGCGTGCGCCCAGGGACTGGTAGTCCCCATGCAGGGGTCTGAGGGTGGCCTGCCTGGGGTGGCGTGCCAGGGCCTTGCTGACACGCGGGCAGGAAGCAGGTGGCCCAGTGATGTGTGCAATGTGGCAATCCCACCACCTTTCCTTGCTGCAGGCTTGGGTACAAGATGGAATCCCACTGATGCTAGCCATTCCATCCATCCACCCATCCACCCATCCACCCATCCACCCACATAGAGGTTTTCTACATATGCATATGCACAGGATTCTAGAAGAAAATAGGCCACATCGCTAATCGTGGTGGGCCTAGGATTTGACTTTCTCCTCCATACTTAAATTTCAAAGCCAGCGTGTTGCTATTTATTTCCTTCGTTGGTAGCATCTGTCACCTGGACTCCCAGCTAATGCTGGTGTCCTCCCTTGGGGCACAAATGCTGCCAAGATGGCCTTCTCTTTACACCAAGCCCTGGCCTCTGGAACCAATCGGGCCCCAGGGACGTCCGAGCCAGGGCGGCTGCCCGCTGCCCAGACCTCTGGCTCTCCCCCAGGTACCACCTCACGGTGATCGCCCTCATCTACTTCCTGCCGCTCGTGGTGATGTTCGTGGCCTACAGTGTCATTGGCTTCAAGCTCTGGAGGCGCACTGTGCCCGGACACCAGACCCACGGCGCCAACCTGCGCCACCTGCGGGCCAAGAAGAAGGTGGGTGTGGGGCTGGGCGGGGGCCGGCCTGGGAGCCGCCCCTGCGGGCTCAGGGAGGCAGGGGGTCACAGAGGGGAGCCTTCCGGCTTGCCCATGGACAGGCACATATCTCAGGGATACAGCACTCTGTAAATCCCTGAGGTTGGGGTTAGGAGCTGGCGGGAGCCCATCCACCCTCCAGGATCTGGTGCTGGGCTCACAGCAATGAGGACTTCAAAGGAGGAGGGCAGTGAGGGCAGAAGGACCAGCCTGGGCAGAGGCCCGGAAGTGGGGTCCAGCCATGGAGGGCGGCCCAGGCTGGCACCTGCCCTTGGAGGGCTGTGGCTCGCGGCTCCGGAGTGACCTGAGCTCTCGTGGCCAGTTCGTGAAGACCATGGTGCTGGTGGTGGTGACGTTCGCCGTCTGCTGGCTGCCCTACCACCTCTACTTCCTGCTGGGCCACTTCCAGGACGACATCTACTGCCGCAAGTTCATCCAGCAGGTCTACCTGGTACTCTTCTGGCTGGCCATGAGCTCCACCATGTACAACCCCATCATCTACTGCTGCCTCAACCACAGGTGAGCCTGCCCGCCCGCCTGCCCTCCACCTGGCCGGCTCTCAGCAGTCTGCCTTCTGGCCCGGGCCTGGCTTGAGCTCTAACCCCTCCTCCGCAAAGCCTCGCCCCTTTGCCCAGGCCACGGCGCCCTCATCTGTCTGCCCCTTGGTCCACATCCGGGACAAGGACAAGGAGGAGAGAGAAGGGAGGACCAGAGGGATGCTCAGGAGGGGAAGTCAGAGGGGGTCGGGACAGACAGAACGGGAGGAAGGGGAGCACCAGCTACAAGGGGGAAACTCTCTCTCCATCCTCCCGTGCCTCCGAGGTGCAGTAGCGGGGAGCTGGATTAGCAGCCCAGGGTAGCCAGGGCTGGAACCAGGCATTCCAGGATGGACGCGTCCTGTGTTCTGGCTTAGCTCTTAGGAGAACCAGGCCCGTGCTGCACGGGAGCTGGACCACAGGAACAAGGGGAGACGCAGGGAGAGGGCTTCAGGGAGGCTACCGCAGTCACCCAGGTAAGAGACCAGCTGGGGTGCGGTCAGGCGTGATGACGGCGTGGGAGAGGAAGTCGGGGTGACCCCAGCAGGTCTGCCAGAGCTGCCAGGAGCCGGGGTGGGGTGGGAAGGGTGGCTGGGAGCTGGGTTTGGGCAGGTTGGGCACCGAGGCCGCCAGGCTTGGTCACTGCAGCTCTGCGGGGACACGGGGGCACACAGCCCCAGGGAGAGCGTGCACGCGGCTGGGACAGGGCTCCTTCCCCTCTGCCCTGGCTGGCCAGCTGGCGCTCCTGCCAAGCCACTCACTGTGCCTCTGAAGTCCAGGGGCTTTCAGTGCTGCCACGCGGCGTTATTTTTTAAGCAAACCTGTCGGAACTCGGTAGCTCCACATGTGCCTTCTCTGTTGCAGTCCCCTCGGAGAGCACCTTTAGTGCACCCACGCTGCCCAAGTCCTAGTTGCTTTTTTTTAAAACAGACTCTGAATACTCTTTAGGGAAGCCAGCCAACAGACCAGCCAGGACTATATCACTGGCTGCGTTCCTGTGTCTGCAACGACACAGCCCAAACCCACAGAGCCACCCGATGGCCTCTTAGCTCTAGAGCACTTCCGGCTGGTTCCCAAACCGCACACGGGGATAGAACGCACCTGCTAAGACACAGCGAGCCATGGCGTCTCCCCTGCGTGAGGCCCCACTTTCCCGAGGGCTACCGCACCCCACTCCCTCGCTCAAGGTGACCTACCCGCCCCCCCCCCCCCAGGTTTCGCTCCGGATTCCGCCTTGCTTTCCGCTGCTGCCCTTGGGTCACACCCACCGAGGAAGACAAGCTGGAGCTGACGCACACGCCGTCCCTCTCCGTGAGGGTCAACAGGTGTCACACCAAAGAGACTCTGTTCCTGGTTGGGGACGTGGCTCCCTCCGAGGCTGCCAATGGGCAGGCTGGGGGTCCCCAGGATGGGGGTGCCTATGATTTCTGAAGCCTCGTGCTTGGCTGCAAGGTGGGGACCTAGCACCCCTTGGGAAGCAGCCAATTGAGAGGACCGGATCTGAGGGTCTGGCCCATGCCCGCCACACCCAGGGAAAACAAGATGGGGCCAGGGTCTCCCATGGGGCCAGCACTTACCTACGCCAGGAATCGAAAGCTCAGGTACCTTCCTGGAGCAAGCAACATAAAGTAGTGAACTGGATCCAGCGCAAAAGAAAAACTCCATGTGCTGATTTCCAGCGTCAGGGTTGATGTGATAGGGAGAGGTGCAGACTGCGGCAAACCGGAGGCGCTAGGCTGTCAGGGGGTCGGCAGCCACTCCGCTTTGGGTGAATGGTGTCAGAGTCAGGGCAGCCCATAGCTGCCAGGGCCTCTCACCCTTTCAGGAAAACCCAAAATCCCAAATTTAAGTGTGCGACCTGTGGACCTGTGAGATCTGGCTTGCAAAAAACACCTCCAGACAAGCCAAGGACATCTGTGGGCAGTGCAGAATCCGACACACTGATTCCTCATCAGGCTAAAGACACAAGGAGGCGGCTGTGTGCCTGGCCACGCCCATCGGCCACGAGCTGGCCCAGGACCTCCAGGCCAGTGGAGAGGGGGGCTGAGTCAGCGGGGACCTCAGCTGTGCTGCCTTGGACAAGTCGCTCTGGCCCTCCACCTCTTCCTCTGCCCAGCAGCCCATGCCTCACGTGGAGGTGGGGGACTGATGCACGTGACGCGTGCAAACCAGGCCACACAGCGCTCACCAAACAGCAGCGTGGTTCTTGCGACTTCTTTGCCAGCCATCTTCCACAAAAGCCACCTGCAAGTCAGCCACGCAGCTCCCACCCTCACCCATGCAGCAGCTGACAGCAGCAGGTGTCCCGACCCCCAGCCCCGCCCAGGGCACAGCCCTCCCCTCTCACTGACTCCTGCTCCACCCCTCCCCCCAGAAGAACCATGTCCCATCCACGTACACATCAATGTTTTGCGTTATCCATGTTCTCCACAGATCACTGTACCAGACACCGGCACTGCAGGAACCCCAAATAAAGGGACTCTGATGTCACCACACCAAGCGGGCAGTCAGTCCTGGGGAAGCCACGGAGAGCTGGAGTCGTGGCTCGGGACATCACGGGGCGCCTGGAGCCACAAGGGGGTGGGACCCAGCAAAGGGCTGGCAGGAGACTCCAACATGGCAGCCACAGAATGAGAAGGGTCAGATAAGGGCTAGTGCCCGATGGATGGGCAGGGTCAAGTTCAGACTGGGGGGCGAGTGCAGCAATCCCGCAGAGCTGGGCTGCTCCGAGGCTCCACGTGGGGCAGGCAGCCGCTGGCAGACAGAGAGATGGAAGAGGAGGCCTCCTGGGGCACACGGCAGGGGCAGGGGGTGTGAATCAGGGCTGCCCTGAATGGCTCCTGGGAGCCAAGTCGGAGGACAAGGGCCTTACACTGTCACCTTCGGATAAGAGGTGGGGAAGGTGCTATGGGACCCTGGGACTAGAGGAGGAAGACAGGGCGAAAGACTACTTCTGTGATGTTCCACAGGGAGAGGACCTAAGCCCTCGTGCCCACCCAAGGCCGGGGGCTGAAGACCATAACCTTTCTCCTGCATTTAGTCTGGGGACATCCCCAGGCGCGGGACGCGGGACGCAGGGCCTTGAATTGGTACAAAGTTTACTAGGTCATACAACACGGCTCACAGAAGCGATGGAGATTCCAGTGACGGCACGGTGGCTGGCTGGCTCCTCTTACCCACATACAGACAAGACATTCTCCCCCAGACAGCCCCCCTCCCCCCACAAGACAAACAGGATGCAAGACTGTCACGGTGTGGCTAGGATCGGGGTCCACAGACACGTGAGGGTGGCGCCGGGACAGGAGGCAGCGGCTACCATGAGGCCCCCCCTTGCCCTCCAGGCGGCGCCCTGGCAGGTGGAGCCCCGGCAGTGTCTGCTGGTGATAATACATTTCACACGGGGGAGGGGACCCCAACGATGAGCTTCGGAGGCCCATGAGGGCTGCCCGGTGCTGTGATTTTTTTTCATCTTGAGCCAATAGATAACTCCGCTGGGTAAATGCACACGGTTGAAATGGATGCCACTACACTTCACACGTGGGGGACGGACGACCAGGTCGAAATCAGATCATGCAGAGTGGCAGGGTGGGTGAGGAGGGACCCAGGTGAGAGAGGTTATCAACAGCACACACTCTACGTTGTACCCTAGGTTATACGCCGTTAGTTGGGTTTCGTCTTCCTCCCTGCGGCGGGGACGGCGGGCTCCGGCCGCGTGCCACAGCACGGCTCGCAGGGAGGAGCAGGACCGGCGCTGGCAGAGACGTGCCGGAAGGATGGCGGCTGGGGCCCCGGCTCCTAGCTGCTCAGTTCGCCTCGGAGCCTCACGCCCACAGCCGTGATGAGCGCGGCGCCTTTACCGCTACCGTCTTCGGACAGGAGGAAGGACACGTTACACTTTGGGGACAGCTCCTTCACGGTCTGATGCATGATTCTGGAGAAGCTAAGAGACAGAGACAGAGGAGACGGTGGAGACAGGAAGAAAGACAAGAGCCACTGTGCTCCCCTGCAGACGCTCAAGTGCCCGACCAAGGCGGCAGAGGCTGCCCGGGAGCAGGGTGGCTGGAAGCCACGTGGGTTCAACAGCCCTGGCCCAAATCGCTTCTGGGGGGCGAGGGCATGAGTGACACAGACACACCTCCACCTTTACCCCCAGAGCTTGGAGCTCCAGGGAACCTGAAATCCCAGAAGGACAGGGGGGCTCCGTGGACTAAACATTACCAACCCCCAGCTGCAGCGCTGGGACCCCAGCTCACCGCCATCCCAGTTCAACACCCAGCACCCACAGCCTGGAGCAGGCAGCCCCCAGTGGAGGGCAGTCTGCACTCGAGGATGACTCTGGGCACTTGCACGTTATGCCTAGGTAGAGACAGGGCCAGGGCCAGCTCAGGCGACTGTGAGGACAGCTCTGCAGGTACAGACATGGGTGAGGATGTGGCAAGACATGTGGCTTCATCAAGGTAAGCAGGTGCCACTGCTTACGTGTGAGGTGACACAAAGGCTCAGTTTATCCAGGATGGTCCCGGGGTAGTTACTAGGAACTAATAAGCTGGCAAAAGCACCCCAGTTTAGACAATAAAATTAGGGTCACTCTATTCGTCAATGCCACGCTCTGCCTGCTTGCTCTCTCCTCCTCCTCTCTCTGTTAAGTCTGCCTTTCAAATAAAAAAAAACAAATCTTTACCCAAAAAAAAGAAAGAAAAAATGGGGGCTAGCTCTGTGGCATAATGGGTTAAGCCCCCGCCTGTGATGCCAGCAGCCATATGGGTGCCAGCTGCTCTACTTCCAATCCAGCTTCCTGCTAATGTGCCTGGGAAAGCAGTGGAGGATGGCCCAAGTGCTTGGGCCCTGCACACACATGGGAGATCCAGAAGCTTCTGGTTCCTGGCTTTGGCCTGGCCCAGCCTTGGCCACTGTGGCCATTTTGGGGGTGAACCAGCAGATGTAAGACCTCTCCTTCCTCCTCCTCCTCTTGTTCTCTGTAAGTCTACAGATGGGTCTCACGCCCGTCTCCAGCATGGGCGTCAGACATAGGACCAAGAGGAGGCCACTCCCTGCCCCCAAGCCCAGAGCTACAGCTGCTCCTGCCCTTCCAAGGCTCCACAGAGTTATCAGCAGGTGAGCAAGACAAGGCCCTCTCCTTTCTCAGTTTCCTCTCCACTTCCCAGCACACGCTCACGCCCACCCCTACCTCCTCTCCCACCTGAGGGTCTGGCTTTGCGCTGGCCAAGGAAAGCCACATCTTGAGCCCCCGTCCCCCCCGCCCCGCGAGTCCCAGTCACACTCTGGAGCTGCTCATCCGCCCGGAGCAGGCCCTGCACGCGCACAGCCTCCAGGCTGGCCCCATTCCCTGCCACCCCAGCCCTGGGGGAGGCCCCACTCACTGTGGATGAAGCTTGTACAGTGTCCCATCCACGCCCACGGTCACGTTGAGATGGTCCAGCCCTCTGTTCTCGCGGATCTTGTCCACCACCGCAGCCATGCCTGCGCCGCACAGCTGCGCGGCCCTCCTGGACACCACCCCGCACACGGTCTTGACGAGGATGCTGTCGTCACACGTGCTGTTCAGACCCAGCTGCTGGAGGATGGCCCGCACCTGGAGCAGCGCCAGCCGGTCGCTGCGAGGGACAGAAGCCAGGTGCTGGATGAAGCGGGACTGCCCCAAGTCACTGTACTTAGCCACCAGTAGGCCTTAAAAATAACTAATTTTTTTTAAGACGATCTCAAAGGGCGCTGGCGTTGTGGCTCAGTGGGTTAAGCCACCGCTTGTGATACCAGCATCCCATATGAGCACCATTTTGAGTCCTGGCTGTTCGACTTTCAACCCAGCTTCCTGCTAATGCACCTGGGAAAGCAGTGGAAGATGACCCACGTCACTGGGCCCCTGCACCCATGTGGGAGACCCAGATGGAGTTCCTGGCTCCTAGCTTTGGCCTGGCACAGCCTCAGCGGTTATGGCCATTTGGGGAGTGAACCAGCAGATAAAACACCTCTCTCTACTTCTGCCTTGCAAATAAAAAATCAATCTTTAAAAAAGGAGAATATTCTTTTAAAAAAATCTCACAAGGATTTTGTTGAATTTTGACAAATCTAGAAAAATAAAAGTTGGGAGATTAAAACTACCCATTATTCCAACACCTCGACAAATGCTCAATATATTTCCTTCCCATGTATTTTCCTTAGCTGTCCCTGGACAACGGTGCTGTGCTTGCGAGCTGAGCACGGAATCGTCCTTTGCACACATGTGGTTTTCTTTCCTTTTCCCTGGTTTGTAAACCTGAGCCATTCTGAGGGCAGGACTGCAGAGTGCTGACACAGCATTGCACCCCAGGCACGCAGCGTTACCAAATCAGCAGTCTGCCGAAATGTCAGTCTTTTGCAATTTTCTATTATAAAATACTGACTCTGAGGAGGGATGTTTGGCACAGTGGTTAAGATAACACTTGGGACCCCTGCAGCTGATATCAGAGCGTCTGGGTTCCGGTTCCAGCTTCCTGCTAACATGCATCCTGGGAGGACCTGGGTCCCTACCACCCACCTGGGAGACCCAGATGGACTTCCAGGCTCCCAGCTTCAGCCTGGCCCAGCCCCAGTCAGGAGGTGGAGGGTCTCTGTCTCCCTCTTTCAAATAAGTGGCAATAATAACTA